CCTCTTCTGTGAGAGGTAGGCGTCCCAGTGCAGGAGGCTGCAGTCAAGCTCTAGCCGAGCTTTTGACTGCAGAGAACCCTGGCTCTCCAAGCGCACCAAAACGGATTTGCCCTCAGACGTCTGCCTTTAAACGGAACGAAATACGTAGCATTGTGTCAGATAGGCTGTATGGACAGATGCTTTCGGGATGACGTCGCAGAATGTCGAGGAGTTTGCAGAGTGCCTGTACAACCGTGACAAGTCTGGAGGCGTCGTGAGATCCTCGGGCAGTATGCAGGTGAAGTAGTCAGAAGAAGCTCGCGAGATAACCCGACAACTTCAGCCCCTAAGCCCCAAAAGGCTACAAAGGGCTACAAACTGAAGAAACCCAAGCTGAAGCCGACTTGCAACTCATCAGCTTTACAAGAGAGCCCCCCAAACAGACAGCCGCAACTATTCAGCTTCAGCGAGCCAGGCATCTGGTAGAAACTGAAGGTAGCGGGCTCTTTGAGGATTAGAGTTCCTTATCACTGATGGCTGGCGCTGGCTGCATGCGGCAGTCAGACGGCATGCGAGTGCAAACTCACAATCTTGTATGGGTCCATCTCAGCCAATCTGCGGTCCGAGACCACCCTGAAAGGGCCACTTCAAACTGTGCACGGGGGCATGCCTACCTCACCTTCGCTGACCTTGCTGGAACACCAGGCTGCTGTGCCCCCGGTGCATGCAAAACGGGTCTTACAAATCTTACAAAAAGCGGTGTTTTTTTTGGCTCTTCTTGGCCGGATGAGGAACGATCTGGCAGCCGCCATCTTTGCGTGGCGTAGGGCTTGAATACATCAACAGCAAGGGTTTAGGGTTTAGGGCTTAGGGTTTCAATACATCAACAGCAAGGGTTTAGGGTTTAGGGCTTAGGGTTTCAATACATCAACAGCACACGGTATGCTTTTTCTCCTGTGAGACTGTAGGTGCCAGGAAAACTCCTCAAGATACCTGCAAAACTCATCGACCCCAACAGGAGAAGCGTCCACAGAAGATTAAAACATACAAAAAAGACTCAGTATAAAAATCAGATAGATCCGACATAAAGACAAACTAAATCCCAATAGAGTGCGAGGTAAACTATGCGGGCAATGAACCCCCTCTGTCTTCGCTTCTCTGCTGCAGTCCAGTTGGCTGCTCCTGCCCGGCCCACTTAAATGTTCATGGGACTTAGTAGCTAGGCATATACATAAGGTAACTATACCTGTAGGTACTTATAATCCCAGATAAGGTACTTTTAACCTTACCGCACTAAGTCCCGCGATCCTCCAAGCATGTGGCAGAAGATACAAAGACGATCCCAGCAACCCGGGTCGTGCGTCGTGCAACTTGTGGACTTCGTTTAGGGCTATTTGGTTTCTATAGTTTAGGAGTTGAGGGTGGTTTGCTGAGACAGAGCAGCCGTTTCGGATCTCGGCAGAAGCACTGCAAAAAGATCGCAGGTGTTTAGGCGAAGCTCACTCCTTTTTGTTGAACTAGGAGCAGCCCTGCAAAGCGCCGCATAATGCCTCTCAAACGTTCCTCCTTCTCCCCCCTCCAAAAGCGAGAACGAGAGAGAGAGAGAGAGAGAGAGAGAACTGTGGCATACTATGGCGCTCTGATCACGAGAGCTTCGGAGTCGAGACATCGGTGGCTCGCTTGACACCCTCCAGGTGTCAGGGCCAGCCGGTCAAGAAGGGGGCGTCTTCGCCGTGTTCGCTATGGGAACCGCAAGCCGCTCAAACCTCGGGGAAATCGTGGGGTTGGTGCCCTCACATTGCATCCCGAGATAGATGAGTCTCAACAAGATGCCAACTTCAAAAGCAGACCACCAGCAATAGGATTACTGAGGTCGAAATGCAACAAATGCGAGCGGCTCGCTGGCCAAAGAGCCGTCAATTTAGAGAATCCTTTTCAAAAGTTAAGCGCGCGTTTGTCTGAAAGGTTCCGCCTCTCTTGCGTGACTGTTTGACAGGCTTGCATCTTCCAAAAAGGGATGATTACCGCTAGCTTTTGGCAGCAGCATCATCACTGACCCCCAGCATGGCGCAGCCTCCACAAGCCGAAAGCGAGAAAGGGCTCAGAAAAAGCATAAGGGTTTAGGGTGTAGGGTTTAGGGTTTAGGGTTTAGGTTTACCTTTGGGCTCAGGGCTGAAGGTACGAGCTACGGAAAAGAGCAGCACGACACAGCTTGCAAGGTTGTTGAAGCCCAAACTCACGCATGAAATGCATCATGAACACAACCCCAGCTTCGTCATGTGGGCAGCTTCGTAAATCAGGGTCCTTTGTACAAGGGTGCCGTGCTATTTCGGGGACCTAAGAAGGGACCCTAATTGGGAGAGCTACCAGTGTCCAAAATGCTTTCCGGCCTAAACCCTGAACCCTAAACCCCTAAACCCCCAAACCCCGAAACCCTGAACCCTAAACCCTAAACCCTAAACCCCTAAACCCCTAAACCCTAAACCCAATAAACCCCTAAACCCTAAACCCTAAACCCCTAAACCCAATAAACCCCCAACCCCAAACTTCCCAAACCCTAAACCCCCAAACCCCGAAACCTAAACCCTAAACCTAAACACTAAACCCAATAAACCCTAAACCCTAAACCCCGAAACCCCGAAACCTGGCCCAGTCTAGTGATATCGGGCCTAGGGCTTGGGGTTTAGGGGCCTAGGGCTTTGGGCTTAGGGCTTAGGGCTTAGGAAGTTTAGCCTAGGTTTAGGGTTTTAGGGTTTAGGGCTTAGGGCTTAGGAAGTTTAGCCTAGGTTTAGGGTTTTAGGGTTTAGAGTTTTAGGGTTTAGGAAGTTTTTAGCCTAGGTTTAGGAAGTTCAGGGTTTAGGGTTTTAGGGTTTAGGAAGTTCAGCCTAGGTTTAGGAAGTTCAGGGTTTAGGGTTTTAGGGCTTAGGAAGTTTAGTTTAGCTTAGGTTAGAGGTTTTTGGGGTTTAGGAAGCTTAGCTTAGGTTAGAGGGTTTTTGGGGTTTAGGAAGTTTAGCTTAGGTTTAGGGTTTTTGGTGTTTAGGAAGTTTAGCTTAGGTTTAGGGTTTTTGGGGTTTGGGCTAAGAGGTCAGGGCTAAGGGTGGAGGGTTTAGGGGCTTGGTGGCACGGGCAGACCTTGCTCTCCGACCTCCGATTTTCTGCAGCAATGGTTTAAGGCCTAGGGTTTAGGAAGTATTTAGTTTGTGGGTAGTTCTCTAAAGTAGGGTCCCTTTTTAATTTTAGGAAGCGAAACAAAGCGGCACCCTTATAAAAAGGACTGAAGCAGAGACCCTAATGTAGAGAACTACCAAAGTGTGCCTGTAGGTGGGCTAGCTGGAATTGTCCTGTAACCTGGGAAAGCTTTTGCTCAACGTCGTCAGATGTCGATCTATTGGAGATGGCCGGGGAGGCATGGAGCAAGGTAGAACCCTGAGCAAACAACAAATTCCACACAAACATGGAAATAACATCCCCTTACAGTCCGAATCCTCATAGAAACGCCTGTAGCATCCTTACAACTAAGAGAATCCTCACATTTCAGAACCTTTACAACAGCTTCAAAGTTAAATGGAAATTCATATACCTTAAAGTAACACAATACAGTACAAGATGATAATAGTTCGACAAAGCCCCCCAAAACCCCAAACCCCTAAACCCTATTCCCTAAACCCCTAAACCCAAGACCCCTAAACCCTAAACCCTAAACCCCTAAACCCCAAACCCTGAACCCCTAGACCCTAAACCCTAAACCGCTCAAAGGGCTGCCTGCTTGTCGGCGGCTTCAGAGCTTCAGGGTCTTGGCAGAGTAGCGGGTCCAATCTGCGCGCCGGGGTCTTCTTCAGGCTTTGGGGTTTAGGGTTTTGGGTTCCGGGTTTACTGTTTAGGGTTTGGGGTTTAGGCTTTAGGGCTTTGGGTTTGGGGTTCAGGTTTTAGGGCTTTATCTTTGGGGCTTAGGGTTGAGGGTTTAGGGATGAGGGCTTGGGGTTTAAGGCATATTAAGGGCTTAAGGCATAAGGCTTAGGGACTGCACTGATCGTGGAATCTGGTGCACCTGGCCTGTACCCCTCTGAAGAAGCAGAAAGGATAAGTCGCTGTTGTGCAGCCGCGGGGCGGCACAGGTGGCAGTGGGTGCAGTTGTCTCCGTCCTTGCAACCTCGCGATTTCAGCACCTTGCAGGAGGAAACAAGCGGCGACCCATGGGAAGTAGACGACTGAAGCACTGAACCCAGAGACTCCATTATCCCTTAATTAAGGGAATATACCTTAAATTATAATGGGAACCCTCATAAGATTTAAAGTATATTCCTTAATTTAAGGAATATTGGAGTCTCTGGGAAAGGTACTGGGCGCGCGGCATACTTGCAGGCGGGCCCACAGCCTCAGGACGCGTAGCGCACGCATAGCGAACCGACTCTCACGTGGCCGAACCCAGAGAACCCAAGGTACCCCTTAATTAGAAGCTCGAACTACCTTTTTCGCTCTGCATGCTAGGTTGTCCATTTG